ACTAAAATCTACCAAAAAAGTGATGGGCCATTAGTTTTAGCTGATATTCCCTCCTATGAGACACCCTACTACACCATTCACCCCTGAAGTCGGATTGTTTTGATTCACAGTAATCAGAAAGTATGATGAATGAATGTATTGCAATTATTTCAGTTTTGTATTTAAGAATCTCATTAATCATTTGAAAGAAACCTGTCAGCTTCTCACTGCTCTGAAATGTAATGGCTGGGCATCAAAGGGTTAGTCTCAGTAGTGATATAAATTTAATTATTGCATTGCAGACTCAAACACTGATTTGATTGTAAGCGTTAACCTCAAGAAGCTGATGTACACTCATAGTCTGATTCTCATAGCCCAATGTTTAGTGTAACTGAGTCCAATGAATATGTGAGTGAAGTCCCATCTGTGGCATCATTATGTATACAAACTGATGTACGAGAGAAGAGAACTCATTTCTTACAGCTCCTTCCTCGTCTATCAGGTACGTACCATGTCGCATACAACCGTATTAAATGAATTTAACTCAGTTGAACTTTGTTAAATATATCATTACTCCTGTTTTAACGTAGTTGAACCTCTTAAGTGTCAAATGATCCTATAACGTAAATGAGCGTCTTCTTTGTTGAATGATTCATTTGTTCTCATGCTAGACGTGTTTTGTGATATTTTGTATTTTGATTTTATTCACTTCTAGCCACTCCTTCCTCGTCTATCAGTCACTGCATGTGTTGTTGCCGCAGCCGAGGATCGGTAGCCGCGTACAGGCAATATGTCTGATGTCTTTAATATACCGAGATTAAGACTTGAGTGCATAATGAGCCCAAGGAAACCAGTCAAGGGAGAGTGGGCTCTCGAACACCAAGCCCGGCTGCGGTTTCAGAGTGGAGCCGCCCGGCATTTGTTTTGAATACCAGTGGTGTAAGCCTGGTGTAAACATTCTGGCTGTATGTGCTAATTATTTTTGTGTGCATTATTGTAGAATGTAATGAATTATCGATAATATAATTCCCCAGGTCGAGTATCGAGACCAGAAATATTACTATCACCAGTATTTGTTTGTTATTACTGTATGTGAGTGAACCAACTGTACTCACACCTTATAATAATAATAATAATAATAGTAATAATAATAATAATAATAATAATAATAATAATAATAATAATAATAATAATAATAATAATAATAATAATAATAATAATAATAATAATAATAATAACAATAATAATAATAATAATAATAATAATAATAATAATAATAATAATAATAATAATAATAATAATAATAATAAATAATAATTAGCGGTTTATTGAAAGAGCATGGCAGCCGGAAGGCTGAAAATATACAATTACCTAATTGGGGAATTGGTCACTTGATTTACATATGATGTTTCCATGTTTGTTAATCAATGAATAGAATGGTGCTATAAGTAATAACATCACTCTGTACTATTGACAAGTGCTTAGAGTGACCATCACTCTAGTATCACTGTTGTGTAATAATACCCTTAAGGTCGTATTATTATTGAATGTTGTAATGTTAACTGAAGATCTATTTTGCTACTCGGGAAGTAAGACCTATAGGTCAGTCTCTATTTTTCTAATTGCTACAGTAAAGTAATCATTACTTGAATCTAAATTTTGTTGTTGTGAATGAAGGCCCAATTTGTCACAGTCCTCATATTTGATTTTAATAAATGTTGATTCGGTATAATGTGTGTATCACCGCTAATTCCTTCTAACAATAGCCATCCCTGAAAATACACTTAATAACTCACGTGCCTAATCTCTCGTGTATACCACACTGCCAATTTAATTGAGACGTTCATTGTGGATGTTATATTCTAAAAATAAAGCCTGGGTGGTGGCAGCTCTGAGATTAAGTACTGTAATTACTATAGTATGTAATTGTAGACAAAGATGTGGTTCTCCCAGGTTAACCCACAGAACAGAATATAACTAAATAAGATGGAAATAAACAAATAAATAAGAGACACTGGAAGAAATACAGTAATTATTTTGAGAAAATGAATTCGAAATTAAAGAAAATGAAAACTTACAAACAAAGAGGGCACAGCAGCAGGTGTTAATATCTTCGAATTGTAACATTTTCAATTTAGCAAATTTTTCCTTTGTGTGATCTTTTTTTTTTTTCAACTAGGTCATTGTCCGTACAACTCTCTTTTGTGCAGTAACTGGGGATTGTGATTTTGAAGAGCCAGAGCCTCTCCCCCCTCCATAGTGTGTGACACTGTGTCAGGTGCTGGTAAACAAGATCATGATAGATTTCTTTCATTGCTGTGAGAGTGAGTGATTGTCGAGTGTGATACACGATACCGCACTGTTAATTGACTTTACTGTGAATGGCTTGTATGTGGTTTGCCCAGTTAAGTTTCTCATCAACAATAATTCCAAGTAATTTAGTATTTTGTTCGCGTTTGAGGACTGTATTACCAAGGTACAGGGGGACCAAGTCTGGGGGTAAGTTTTTCCTTCTGTGAAAGATCGTGTCGTGGGTTTTCTCAAGGTTTAAGGTCAGTTTATTACGTATTACCCAGGTCCTCACTTTAGTCAATTCAGTGTTCATAGTTCTCATCAAGGAATTAAGGTCTGAGCTGCTGGCATAGAGATTACTGTCGTCTGCAAATAAGTTGTATTTTATGAGTGTGCTGGCGTGGACTATGTCGTTTATGTACAACAGAAACAGTACTGGGCCGAGAATGGAACCTTGGGGGACGCCATACAAGATTGACGAGGAGTCAGATTGGTGATTATTATAGCAGACATACTGCATCCTGTTGGACAGATATGAGGTAAACCAATTGTGGGACAGGCCCCTAACGCCGTAATGTTCAAGCTTTGAAAGGCGGATGGCATGGTCGACAGTATCGAAGGCTATAGAGAGGTCCAAGAATATACCGACTGTGAACTGACTGTCATCAAAGGAATTTAAGATGTCATAAGTAAAGGATAGCAGAGCACTCTCAGTCGAACTTCTAGCTCTAAATCCAAACTGGGAGTCTGTAAAGTTGTTATTGACATTGCAGAAGGAATTTAGTCTACTACATGCTAGCTTCTCCAGTATCTTACTCAAGGCTGGGAGGATTGATATGGGGCGGTAATTCGTGAAGAGACCTTTGTCCCCAGATTTTTTATATGCTGGGTGAACTTTAGCAATTTTCAGTTTATCCGGAAAGACACCACTAGTGAAGGAGGAGTTACAAATGTGTAGGAGAACAGGTAGTAATAAGTGGTCTACTTTCTCAATGATGCTCATTGGTGTATTGCCTTCGCCTGGTGCTGCATCTTTGGACATTTTTATGGTGGCTAGTAATTCATCTGCTGTGACAGGGGATAAGAACAGCTCATTTTTCTGTCTGTTTTGCAGGTAGGCTCTAAATTCCTCATGGTGATCAGGTATGCTCTCTGCAAGATTTTTGCCAACATTAATAAAATATTCATTGAAGTGGTTAGCAATGAGGGAGGGTTCCGTTACAAGTGAATCATTTATCATAAAAGCTGAGTGGGGGGCCGAAGGCTGAATGTTCCTGTTCTGAATTGAAATTATGACATTCCAGGTTTTCTTACCGTCGCCTGATGCTGACTGGAGCTTATTTGTATAATAGCTACGTCTGGAATTTCTAACTGTTTGAGTTACTTTATTTCTGATACTTCGGTAAGCATCACCGAAAGTTACGGGTCTTTTTGTAAATTTCCTTTGGAGTTTGTGTTTTTCTTTTATCATTATCTTAATTTCGCGTGTGATATAGGGATTGGAAATGGATACAGTTTTCATTGATTTAGTCTTGAGCGGGAAGCATTTATCGAAGCCAGCATTGAAGATGCAAGAGAAGTTGCAGCTGTTCACGTTAGGGTTGTCAGAGGCATAGACAAGATGCCAGTTAGCATTCATTAGGTTGTTTTAAAAAAGCAGCATGTGGTCGGTGCAGTAGTCTCTGTATTGTATTGAGACTCTACTAGACCTTTCAGGTCTTGTGGCTGTTTTATACATGGCAAAAACTGGGAATTGATCTGAGATATTGTTATAAATAATTCCACTTGCAAGATTGTTAGGGGTGTTGTTAGTCCAGATATGATCTACCATAGTGGCAGAGGTAGCAGTTACTCTAGTGGGTTAGGTTATAGTGTTGAAGAAGAGCTTAGAATGACAGGTAGCAAGAAGGTCTAATACTGAGATGTCGGTCTCTGATTTTAATAGATCAAGGTTGAAATCTCCTGTAATGTAGTAAAGTTTCCTCTCTGAACTTATGATAGAGATAAACCCCGAAAATTTATCAAGAAAATTTCTTACATTAGTGTGGGGTCTTCTGTAGATTACTCCTACTAGGATATTTCGTGTGTCGTTACGTAATTCAGTGAAAACACTCTCCATGTACTCCTCCTGAACCTTTAAAACATCTCTTACAGAAGTGTTATACTTGATATCAACATATAGGGCGACTCCACCACTGTGTTGTGACGTGTTGACGCAGTGTCTATTATAATTAGGAATGTTGAGACACATATTACAGAAATTACTTAAGCTAAAACCCTTTTGTCTTAAACGTGTATTACTGAAAAAAAGATCATGCTAAAACACCCATAACTAAAACTCTCTAATCTAAAACACTTAAGATTGAAACTCTCTAAGTCAAAACATTTATGACTGACACTGCTTGAGCTAAAAAAAACAAAAACAAAAAAAAACATCTAAGCTGGAAGTTAAGGAGGATACTACCAAAGTTAAATGTTTGTAAATGAAACTACCTAAACTCAAACACCCATAAGAAAAAACTAAGCTACTGTAAGTCTTTTATGACGTAAAACTACCTTGACTGAAATATTTTTGAAAGAAACTATCCATATTTTACCATCATCTTCTCTCAGGAAGTATGAAACATTTGTTAAGGAAATTTGGTGTAAAGATTTTGAGACAATTTATTAATATTACAGGATACATTTCAGGCTTCAACAGTGACTACATGACGTTTATGACGTTTAACACCCTGTCAGATGGCTTTGCTCACTACAATATATTTGTTTACTTAATCTACTGCCACTGGTGAAGTAATGATGAGATGAGAAAATAATGACTATTTCATTTAGTAGAATATTCAAATCCAGTGGAATTTCGTAGACTTGAAGGGCAACAGCTGAGAGAGTTCAAGTACAGTATATTCACATCAGAAAGTTAAACTGTCATTCATTAGAGTTATGTGACAAAACTTCTCGTATTACTTGAACGTCATAGGCGTCCCGCTGATAACACTACGACACGCCGACACTAACAGACTCCCACTGCGCTTAAACGTCGCCCACTTCCACAACACAAAATTCGTGAAATCCTGCCACGTCGGGATATCACCGAATGAGTCTTGGTACATATTTACCTGATGAGTTATCCTCTTCTTACTGTCCTCTCTTTCAGTTTCTCTTCCTTCACTCGGGACTTTATCCTTTCCTTCCGGTTCATCCCCATCCTTACGCTCTCTATTCTGTTGTTCTTTAAAGCGCTGTGCCTGTAAATTCTGGCCATCCAGACTCTCTCTATGAACGAATATTTGTGTCTGCGTTCTTGTGGCTCCAATTGACTCATGTGTACCTTCCCTCAAAGCCCGGCGGTACACCTCCAGCAAGGTTGTGTTGGTGAATAGATACATATAGGAGGAAGGTTGTGGGGAGGTGGTAGTGACGGAGTGAAATGATCCGCGCGGCAGAACAATCTTATCCCCGACTTTTAGGACCACCGAACAATGACTCTTTCCAGGCCCAGTGCGAGAAAATGGAGGAGTCGCGTAGACAGAGCCAGTTTGCGCTTTGTCAAAATTATCAGTATTGTTTAGAATTTCCATGGACGAGGCTTTAGTCTTCTCTTGATCATGGGTGTTGGTGTTCTCTCCCTTGTCACTGTCCTCCTTGTTTTCACCCCCAGAGACGTCTTGGTGAGTGTCTACGACGTCTTGGTGAGTGTCTACAACGTCTTGCTGAGTTTCTACGACGCCTTGGTGAGTGTCCACGACGTTTTCGTGAGTGTCCATGACGCCTTGGTGAGTGTCCACGACGTTTTCGTGAGTGTCCACGACGCCTTGGTGAGTGTCCACGACGTCTTGGTGAGTGTCCACGACATGAGTTGAGGAATATAGTGGTGTATATAGCCCTGCCACACGATGCCTTACCTCACCACACGAGGCACCAGCATCACCAACTTCACCTTCAACAACAACGTCACCACCATAGTCTCTACCAACGTCTCTTCCACCAACATCACCATAATTATCATCACCACAATCATCACAACCACCATCAGTAACTTCACCACCACAAACAGCATCACCACCATAACCTCCACCAACATCACCACCATAACCACCCTTCCCTCCAACCTCACCACTTCCCACATCATCACGCCCACTACCTCTAACACTATCCTCACCATAATTTCTATTGCTACCATATTCACCAACAACATCAACATCACTCGCACCAACAACATGACCTCCATCATCAACAAAACCATCACAATCATCAGCATCATCACAACCGCCCCCACCACAATCAGCATCGTCACAACCACCACCACTATAACCAGCATAATCATAACCATCATCATCACAACCTCCACCATGACAACTACCACCATCACCACCATCACCGCAGGGTAAGAGTACCGTCACTTGACCTTGAAGAACCTCAAGAGTAACGTTGGTCAAGTCATCACTGAGGTAGCTGTCCAGGGTAAGACCTGATCAAGAGAAAAGACACATGAGGTTTAACAAATATCACGACGTCCTGAGCACAACACTAGCACCGTGTTTGAGGCCTTGAGTCGGATTATTTTAACTTCATAAATTAGTTCATGTGAAAATTAATTTCTAGTTTGTCACCTGAAGATTAGACACCCTACTGCTATCTGGTTAGGGGTAGTCTATTGTTTGTTATGTTAGATTAAGTTACTTTATGTTATTTAAATTTAAGTTACTTTGTTAGGTTAGTTTAAGTTAGGTTAGCATTAGAATGGTTAATTTCAGGAGACTAATCCTTAGGAGATCCGTAAAATTTCCTCGTGCATGAAGATGTGATAATTAATGCATGTGACGAGTTAACTAAAGCTAAAGTATGAAAGTTACTGCTAAAATGGCCACAACAGTTAGAAGATACAGTAAAATCCCGGGTTAATTATTCGTCCATTGGCTGTCCGCAGGTTTCCAATTTTCAATATTACAGACACAAAGGCTAGAAAAAACGAAACATACGACTTCATATAATTTCTTGTGCAAATCCATATTAATGGATAATTATCTCACACACATTTTTGCATCCGCTATGTTGCGTCATGTTGCAAGAGTCACTTGTCTCCTCATTTCCTCCTCCACATATTTAACCAGCCTTCAACCGTGCACTTTCAAATTTTGAAGGCTTTCGTGATGGCATGTGATAAGTGTTCTCTCCCATATCTAACCGTTATTTGACGAGTTTACGAAAACGACAGTGAAGCATTAAAAATATTGCAAGATCACGGTGTCCTACCAACATCAAGACTGTCCTAAGTGAGGAAATTGTTTGGTTTTAAGAAAAGACAGAAATTACCACCCTCCACCACTTCCTTTTCCAGATCAACTACCTGTATCCTCCACGACAGTAACAGGCAAGCTAAAAAAAATCTAGGCTAGGTTGTATAGTATTGTACAGTAGGTTAAATTAGGTTAGGTTAGGTTTTTTGTGATTTATGGTGTGGTTTACTCAAACCTGACCGCCATTTTTGTGCAAATTAACAGTTTCTGTTACAAATGAAAATGTTAATTTTTTGACAAACCCAATAATTTGCACAAAAAATGAAGGTCAGATTTGAGTAAAACACACAGAGGCTGAAGACAGCCGCCAATGGACGAATATTTACCAAAACCAGCTGCCGGCACGAGGATATCTCACTATAGACCATTTATACATTAAGTTAGGTATACTATACCTTAAACTACAATAACTACGATCACCATATAAGAAATACGTCATCTTATATACAGTACACCATTATTTCTTATAGCAATATAGATTTACAGATGGTTTTTATTAGAGATATCGGGATATAAGGGCGTATGAGAAAAGTTCCTCGCACTGTATTGTTGAGTGAAGAGGTGATGGTGAACGGTGGAGGAAGATGATGGTGAACGGTGGAGGAAGATGACGGTGAATGGTGGAAGAATGTGATGATGAATGCCGGAGGATAGTGATGGTGAACGGTGGAGAGTGGTGATGGTGAACGGTGGAAGAAGGTGATAGTGAAAGGTTGAGGAAGGAGGTGGTGGCGGAAGATGATGGTGAATGGTGGAGGAAGACTGTGGTGAATGATGGAGGAAGATGATGGTGAATGATGGAGAAAGATGATGGTGAATGGTGTAGGAAGATGATGGTGAATGGTGGAGGAAGATGATGGTGAATGGTGCAGGAAGATGATGGTGAATGGTGGAGCAGGATAGTGGTGAATGGTGGAGGAAGATGATGCTGACCGGTGGAGGAAGAGGATGGTGAACGATGGGAGCATGGTGATGGTGAACGGTGGAAGAAGATAATGGTGAACGATAGGGGCATGGTGATGGTGAACGGTGGAGGAAGATAATGGTGAACAGTGGGGGATGGTGATGATGATCAGTGGTGGAAGATGATGGTGAACGGAGGAAGATGGTGATGGTAAACGGCGGAGAAAGGTGATGATGAAATGTAGTGGTAGGTGATGGTGAAAGGTGGCGGAAGATGATGGTGAACGGAGAAGAATGGTGATGGTAAATGGCGGAGGAAGATGATGCTGAACGGTGGAGGAAGATGATGGTGAACGATGGGGGCATGGTGATGGTGAACGGTGTGGGATGGTGATAGTGAATGGTGGAGGATGGTGATGATGAATGATGGAGGATGGTGATGGTAAATGGTGGAGGAAGATGATGCTGAACGGTGGAGGAAGATGATGGTGAACGATGGGGGCATGGTGATGGTGAACGGTGGAAGAAGATAATGGTGAACAGTGGTGGATGGTGATGGTGAACGGTGTGGGATGGTGATGGTGAACGGTGGAGGATGGTGATGATGAATGATGGAGGATGGTGATGGTAACTGGTGGAGGAAGATGATTCTGAACGGTGGAGGAAGATAATGGTCAACGGTGGGGGAGAGAGATGGTGAACGGCTGACGATGGTGATGGTGAACGGAGGAAGAAGGTGATGGTGAACGAGGAAGTAAGATGATGGTGAACGGTGGGGGAAGGTGATAGTGAACGGTAGAGGATGATGATGATGAAGAACGGTGGAGAATGGTGATGGTGAAAGATGGAGGAAAATATTGGTGAACGGTGGAGGAAGGTGATGGTGAACGGTGGCGGAAGATGAAGGTGAACGGTGGGGTAAGGTTATGGTGAACGGTGGAGGAAGGTGATGGTGAACGGTGGGGGATAGTGATGGTGAACGGCGGAGGAAGATGATGGTGAACGATGGGGGCATGATAATGGTGAACGGTGGGGGAGAGTGATGGTGAACGGTGGGGGATGGTGATGGTGAACGGCGGAGGAAGATGATGATGAAGGTGAACTGTAGAGGAAGGTGATAGTGAATGGTGGAGGAAGATAATGGTGATAGTGAACAGTGGAGGAAGGCGATGGTGGTGGAAGAACGGTGGAAGAAGGTGATGGTGAACGGTGGAGGAAGGTGATGGTGAACGGTGGAGGAAGATGGTGGTGAACAGTGGAGAAAAATGATCGTGAACGGTGAAGGAAGGTGACGGCGAATTGTGGTGAGGGGTGGAACATACCGGGGAAGTCTGCAACGAAGATAGCATCAGTAGCCGGGTGGTGGTGGTCGAGGCTGTAACGCAAGTCCTCTAGTCGATCTCTCCAGGCGCTTAAGTCAGCCACGACTGGTAACACCCACGACGTCTGTTACGGTACAGGCGGAGGAGAGTAGATGCTATAGTAAATGAGAGGAGGATAACACGTGCACAAGTAGATGTGGGGAAAAAGAGGATAGAATGTCTTGAGTAAGAGTATGGGAGATAGTCAGTGTCCCAATACAGGTAATCAGACCATGAAGAAACTCAATTATTTTCTTACTGACATCTACATCTTTACCACTTAACTCATGGCATATTCGCAAGTATAAGTTACAGTAGGTTAGGTTAGGTTAGGTCTGAGTGGTCAGCTTAGGTTAAGCTAGGTTATTAAGTTACAGTAGGTTAGGTTAGGTTAGGTCTGAGTACCTGAGGTTAGGTTAAGCTAGGTTATTAAGTTAAGATAGATTAGGTCAAGTTAGGTTAGCATAGGTTATTCATCAGGTGAAATTAGCTAGGGTGCCTAGATTCTCAGAGTTAAACACTAGTTTTTACGTAATCCACCTAAGTGGAGTTGCCATAAACAGCTTCAGTAACAGGTAAACCAGCGTTACCATACCTGTTTCCAAGGTGACCAAGGAGCTTCCAGGATGTTTACATTAGGCTGGAAGACTCGCTGCTGGAACCTGCCATTGAGAGACTTCCAGACGTCCAGATAAAGAGCAGAAATGTTAAGACCCTTGGATTTTAGCCTCTGCTTCACACACTCGCCGTACTGTACTGCCAGGTCGACGTGTCCCGTCCACCTAGTGTTTCTCACCCACACCTGCTGAACAATAGTAAAAACTTTTGAGCTACAGTGAAAATTTCTGAACATACCTGAACAACTTCTGAATAAAGTTCTAAACAACAGTGAACACTTCTCAACAGCAGTGAATTGTCTGAATGACAGTGAATACACCTGAACAATAGTGAATACTTTAGAAAAACAATGAACAAATCAGATCTAAGTAACACTCCTGAACAACTGTGACCAGTTCTGAATACCAATGAGCAGTTATGAGGAACATCGAAATATTGAAAAATGGGGAGCATTGCTGAATAATGGTGAAGAATGCTGAACAACGGTGGAAAGTGTAAAAGAACATTACATGACTTAACCTGAAATAACGTAGCCTCACCTAATATAGTATAACCTAACATAGCCTGACTAACGTAACCTAATCTAACCTAACCTAATCTAACCTAACCTAACCCTACCAATCACGGCACCCACATTAGGGTCGAGGTAGAGCTTTTCTCCTGTGCCACTCCTGACGACGGTGACCTTGACGTGCAGGGTGTCCCACGAGTGGACCATCATGTCCCAGCTGTACCCATAAGGTCCGTCGGTCCAGGTATTATAACCCTGTAAGAGGAGGACACAAAATACTCATTAAAAAGATAATTAAGTTTGATAAATTTACAGTATCTCAAATGGAAATTATCTGCCAAGATGGGTCCGATTACTTCCGAAATCCTACATGCAACTCGTGATGTCCTGGGAGTGTTGGTATGCGTGACTCTGTGCCATACGGATCCGACTGTATTTGGTAACCGAACATCATATTAATTACGCCGAAGTAAATACACATTACATTACTTATGTTAACCTATATACCAAAGCAATTGCATGTCCCAATAACTATCATTCATGGCCTCATAATATTTTTGAGATACTGTACATTTAAAGCAAACTGTGAGAAACTGGTCCCGTTGTGAAACAGTAGAACTTACTGCCATGATATTTGACAGGTCGTGTTGGGTGGGTTGGACGCCAGCCGAGAGGACGTAAGGGGCAGGTAACATCGTACATGACAAATGTGAGTAATAAAAATGGGAAATGATAATGAATTTGAAACTAAAGGAGACTGTACGAGGAGGTGAGTGTTGTACTCTTTCACTGTCACACTGACCAAGTGACCATGAACACAACGGCAAGAAGAAATGGAGAAGTCATTACCATGGAGTAAGAATAAAATAGAAACAAGAACTGAGCCTTGAGGCATTTCAGCATGGATAAGAAAGTTGTCAGGATGGGAGAGAGAAAGGAGGAAGTTCAGGAAGTCATAGGATATTGGATACCTAAGGATATGAGTTCTGTGAGAAGAGCCTAGTGCCAGACCCAGTATAATACCTCTTAACATTATTACTTTTATGTTTATCCTCCTCGCCACTGATCGACTTGTTAGCCGCTTCAGCGGTCGGCCACATCTCTGTTATGTACTATACTGTTGGCAAGTACTAGGTATGCACTGGCTCCTAAATGTATCTGAACCTGCTCCAGTATTGGTAAAGTCTGATCTTGAAAGAGCTCTCACTCGGTGCCGTCACAACACTCTCTGTTAGAATGTTCCAAGAGTTCACGATCCTCACTCCGAAAAGTTTGCCCTCACAGTTTTCTGGACTTGTGGCTTCTTCTTCAACCTTGAGCTGTGACCCCTTGTGGGGAGGGCGTTCGCCAAGTCGAGGTGTGGACACTTGATTGATTAATGCCCTCTAAGATGTTTATATATACACCTCAATTAGGTCACCCCTTGCCCGTCTGCAGTATAAGCTAGGCAGTTGCAGGTGCTTTAATCTCTCTGAATAACTGAGGTGCCGAAGTGCAGGCACCAGTCTAGTGGCCCATCTTTGGACGTTTTCAATTAACTGAGTCTAGCATATCTCGGGCACCAGACGGGGTGAGAGTACTCCAGGCACGGAAGCACCTTACTCTTGAAGATCTTGACGGCCCCTCCAGATATATGAACGACCTTCTCATAAGACCTACTAGTTTAGTTGCTTGATTCACCTTTCCACAATGGTCCAAGATCTTCTGTTCATTGTCAACATACACACCCAGGTTCTTTTCACAACCAGTCTCTATTAATGCAGTTTCTTCGTCCCGTTGGAATATGTGATATGCCTCCTTACTGTTGGTGCGACCCAGGTGCAACCTCGTACACTTCGTGATATTGAATCTTAGCAGCCATTTCTTCGACCACTCTTGAAGCTTACAGATATCTTTCTGTAACTCTTCACAGTCTATTTGGTCCTTAATCTCCTTGAATCATTTTGCATCGTCCGCAAACATTTGTATATATGAATGTATAGCTTACTGCACATCATTTATGAAACAAACAAATAACAACGGGTCCAGTACTCTGCCCTGTGGTACCCCGCTTGTCACGGGTACACATGACGGTTTCGTACCATTAATCACCACACACTGCTTGCGATCACGAAGAAAGGTCTCCTTACATGGGGTACGCCGCCGAAAGCCTTGGTAAAATCTAGATATATATTATCGTTATTACCGCTCTGTTCCAGAATTTGTGTCCAAGCATCCAGGAACTTGAAAAATTGTGTTAAGCAGGAGTGTCCCGGCATTAAACTGTGTTGACAGTCCTTTACAAGATTTTTCATAGTAGATGTTCCATCACGGCATCTTTTATAATGCTCTCTAGTACTTCCATACTACGCTGGTCAGGCTCACTGGTCCATAATTATTCTTGGAGTGACGATCGCCTTTGAATATAAGACTCACATAAGACATTTTCCAATCACAACTCTCTTAACACTCTGGGATGTACCATATTACGGCCGGACTCTTTTGAACCTTAAGCTTAAACAGTTTATTTCTTATACCCTCTTCTGAGAACACAATGTGGGTCAGTGTTGTGTCAAACCGTCTATCCTCAAACGCAGTAAGGTGTTCATATTATGAATAACAATAAAAAAGATGTTAACACTGAAAAACTAATCGTATTACAAATTAGCGACAAAATAAAATATTAAAGCGATGCTAGAAATCCGTTAGAAAGAGAGAGTTTGTGAGAGTACCTTGGTGATGGAGTGGGAGAAGGGCAGCAACAGTTGTACAGAGACGTAAAACATCACCGCCACGCTGGTCACCTTCTGTCTCCCTGTCACACTGCCGCCCTCCCCTGCAACACAAAGTTTCCTCTTATATCCTCTACATCTTCCTCATTTCCTCTACATCTTCCTCACTTCCTCTACATCTTCCTCACTTCCACTACATCTTCCTCTACATCTTCCTCACTCCCATACATACAGCTAGCCTCCATATGCCTTTATGTATTAGTCACGTTTACCACCAATTTTGTATACAAAGTTCAACTAGACACACAGCGGAAGATGCAAATACAATACAGAAACCTATGTATACATTTACCTGAACACACACACACAAACCAGACTGGAGGTGTATATTATTTTTTTTTTATTGGGCACCCCCCTACATCCTTGTGTGTAAGGTGAAGTGCAGAAGCGTTTACAGCGTCCAACAGGGAGGCATGCTAAGTTCATGCTTACCTTTATATCTCATGAGTTAAGGGCGTAAAAGCCTGAAGAGTCAAGGGCGTAGAAGCCTGAAGAGTCAATGGTTTATGTCTAAGCAAGTTATTGGAAGCTCCAACAACTTGTCCCTGAATACGAATTCGCAACTTTCGATTTACAGCATACCTACTTTGCTGCTAGGTGAACAGGGACTAAGGAAGGCTGGGAAGTGTGTCCGAACAACTTTCCACCGGCCTGGGAATCGAACCCGTGACATCTCCCTTGCGAGGCAAGAGCGGTACCGCTCTAACCACCGGCGCCCCAAGTGTATATTAATATCAGCGAATTATGACATTTACTATTTTGTAAATAATTTTCTATAGATGCTTCCTGTATGGGTTAGACATGAGTTAGTTAACATAACCTTGGTGTTCGTGTATTTCTAGTTCTGTGTATAAGAGACAAATGTATTGAAAAAACAACAGAGCTTATAATGTACAAATAATACCACGAAGATGAATACAATAGCATACTTTGTTTTACGCACTAAATGAACGAAGCAGCTTTACCTAACCTGTTCAAAGTTAACCAAACCTAATCTAACTTAACCTAACATGTCCAAACCTAACCTAACCTAACCTAACCTAACATGCCCTAAGTTAACCAAACCTAACCTAATTTAACCTAACCTGTCCTAACTTTACCTAAACTAACCTAACTTAACCTAACCTAACCTAAAATGTCCTGCCTTAAAGTAACCTATTCTACTTTAACCGAATCTAACTTGCCTAAACCTAACTTATCATAATTTGACCTATTCTAACCTAACTTGATTTAACTAACCTTAACTAAACCTACCATACCCGAAACTAACCTAACCTACCCCACCCTAACTAAACCTACCATACCCTAACTTAACCTAACCTATCCTCATTTAACGTAATCTACCCAAAGCTAACCTAACTATCCAAACATAACTTGACGTAATATAAGTCAACATAACTTGAATCTAACCAAACCAAACATAAACTAACCTAACAAAGAATACCCTCTCTTAACCTAACCTAATTTACCTTTATCTAACATAATTAACCTGACATAACCTAGTTAAACTTACCCTAACCAAACTTAAGGTAATCTAACTTAACATAAGAACATAAGAAAATAAGGAGTCTGCAATAGGCCGGTTGGCCTGTGCATGGCAGCTCCTGTCGAGAGATACTACCACTCTCTATCATCCATGAATCTATCTAGCCTCCTCTTGAAACTTACCAGAGTTCCCGCACTTACTACAAAGTTGCTAAGCTTGTTCCACTCGTCCACCACCCTATTTGTGAACCAGTTTCTTCCTATCTCCCTCCTAAACCTAAACTTATCCAACTTGAATCCGTTGCTCCGAGTCCTATCCTGCTCGGATATTATAAGAACTTTATCTATATCCCCTTTATTGATTCCTTTCACCCACTTAAATACTTCTCTCATATCTCCCCGCACTCTTCGTCTTTCTAGGGAATGCAAGTTAAGTTTCTTTAACCTATCCTGATATGGAAGGTTTCTAAGTCCCGGAATCATTTTTGTCATTCTTCGCTGCACCGACTCTAGTGAATTTATATCCATTCTATAATAGGGGCACCAGAACTGAACCGCATAATCGAGGTGCGGCCTGACTAGCGCAAGATATAGTTGCAATAAGACCTCTGCACTCTTGTTACTTACACTTCTAGATATAAAACCAAATACTCTGTTTGCCTTATTTCGAACATTAACGCACTGTTTTCTAGGCCGTAGGTCCGGGCTTACAAGTACCCCTAGGTCTCTTTCACAAGTCGACTTCTCTAGGTTGATGTTGTTAAGGCTGTATACATTATAAGTATTTGTTCTTCCAATATTAAGTACGCTGCACTTGCTGGTGTTGAATTTCATTTGCCATTTTTCAGACCACCCCTGCAGTTTATTTAGATCCTCCTGTAATGCATTTGCATCCTGCCCTGAATTAATTTGCCGCCCTATTTTGGTGTCATCCGCAAACTTGCTTATGTCACTGCTGATCCCAGTATCTAGCTGAACTTACCTTAACCTAACTAACTTAACCTAGTTCAACCTATTCCAACCAAATCTTATCCCAATAGAGTCTAGTACGAATGGCTAATTTAGTTTACTTTAGGGTAGGTCCGTTTGTGTTATATGAGCAGGTTACAGTAGGTTAAGTTAGGGTAGGTCCGTTTGTGTTATATTAGCAGGTTACAGTAGGTTAAGTTAGGGTAGGCCCGTCTGTGTTATATGGGTATGTTAGAATAAGTTAGGGTAGGCCCGTCTGTGTTATATGGGCAGGTTACAGTAGGTTAAGTTAGGGTAAGCCCGTTTGTGTTACCTGGGTAGTAGCAGTTAGGGTTCCTCTTAAGTGTAATGCGTTGGCCAAATTCTTCCGTCTTGCATATCTTAGTTTCTGTTCGTTCTCCGTTAATATTCTTCTTTTGCTTACTTGGACTTTCATCTGCCTCTCCCTTTGTTCTCGCAGTGGTCCTTGTGCAATCTCCAACAGCTGGTCCAGTCCTGTCACCACCTACAGCTGGTCCAGGCCTGCTACCACCTACAACTAGTCCAGGCTTCCCACCTCCAACGGCTGGTCCAAGCCTGCCTCCTTCAACAGCTGGCCCAAGCCTGCCACCTTCAACAGCTGGTCCAGGCCTGCCACTTCCTACAGCTGGTCGTCTACGAGGCAAGAGGGCGGTGACGGAGGCCAGGAGAGGTCGAGGCCAGGAGGTCCTGCAGAACACCGGCAACGTGGCCAGACACACCCAAGGAAACATACCTGTATTGGTGAAAGAGTAGTGAGGACAGTGTTCCGTAGTGGGGATGTATAGTGTTCCGTAGTGGTGATGTACAGTGTTCCGTAATGGTTATGTATAGTGTTCCGTAGTGGCGATGTATAGTGTTAATATGTGAGGTAGGAAGTGTATATGTATATATATATATATATATATATATATATATATATATATATATATATATATATATATATATATATATATATATATATATGTATATATATATATATATATATATATATATATATATATATATATATATATATATGTGTGTGTAAGTGTATGTTAGTGTGTGTGTTGTTAGTGTGTGTGTGTGTGGGGTTAGTGTATGTTGGTGTGTGTGAGTGGGTTTATGTTAGTGTGTGTGGGGGAAGTGTATGTTAGTGTGTGTAGGGGTGTAGGTTGTGTGTGTGTGTGTGGGGTGTATGTTAGTGTGTGTGGGGGCATGTTAGTGTGTGTGGGGGTGTATGTTAGGTGTGTGTGGGGGTGTATGTTCGTGTGGGGCGTATGTTAGTGTGTATGTGGTGTATCTTAGGTGTGAGGTGTATGTTAGCTTGCATGGTGTGTGTTAGTATGTGTGGGGGTAGGTGGTTAAAAAAAGTAAAGTTCTTTATATTTTTAGTGCTCAAGTTTATTTACGTCATTTA